GGACAGGTGTGTACATTATCGGGTTAATTCCAAGTTACAGCTCCCTTTACACGAAATCAGATATGCAAAGCATCATTTGAATTTACGATGTTCCACGCAGTTTTTACAAACCTGATATTTTATAAAGCCACCGAAAGTTATTAAGTGATGGGTCAGCCAGAAGATCAATCATGACTAGTGATTTGGAAATACGAATGAAGACAAGTTTAGTGCAATTTGTTTCTCAAGGAATCATCTAGCTGATTTCAGTTAACGGCGTATGCCAACTTCAAGTTCATATCCACTTGTGCAGATAGTTAGAAATTTAAAGAACTGTCAGAATCTAAGCAGAAACTTACTTCAATAAGACTGCTCGGCATCTTCTTTCATTTCTACTAGGAGCCAGTTTATTCTATTCTCTGGAGTTTGAACTAGGCAGTTCTAAATTATTTTTACATTTCAACTTACGCTTTAAAAATTCAATCCTCCACATTTCCAGTTGTTTTATTTTCTCCTTTAGTTCCTCTGAAACAGTGAATAGATTGTTAGTGATGTATCAGTAGCATTTTCGATGTCATGCTGTGACAATATGAAACAAAGCTCGAAACTCAGTAAACTCGATCTTGTCAAGTAGTTTGAGTGCAAGTGATATTCGGAACTCAACAACATGCCTTTATTCCATGATGCTTTAATGAAGCCACTAAAGCTTTATCGGGAATATTTCGCGTATTTAATACTTTTAAAATAACACCATACGAGCAGTAAATCTGACTTAACTGTCAGCAACTGTTCAACAATTTGCAGATTCTAGTATTAGTGTGACAAGTATTACTGCCAATTTTATCAATGATATAGCCTAATTTGGCATAAGCAAATACGAAAACTTGATAATATAAACGCCATTAGCCACACAGGCTACTTTTGATTCTTACGAGAACGAAATTCACTGTGATATGTGTTCATCCTCAGAAGTGTATAACATCAAATGTGTTCGACTTTAAAAGACAATGTAAAATTACCTGTGCCGTCGGCAAACTCAGAGCGAGCCTTCTCATAGGCTTCTGTGATTTTGGCATCATTCAATGTGTCTGGAAGAAATAATAACTCGTTATAAAACTCATAGTCTCATACGCACGTGGTGGTATTGAAGGGAAATACCTCATGCAAATAAAGTCAATGTGAGTAAGTTTCTACTCTTACTTATCGTCTGGTTGGCCTTTAGTTTTACCTTCACATGATCTTCAAACTACAGATCTTCAGGAAAGAGTCACTGAGAATTCGAAATGTCATGTTATATATTGTTGATATTTGCTCGGCCTCTATTCAATGTTTGTTTGTTAACAATCGAATGTTTGATTGCTTGCATCTTCAAGCTAGTTACCGTTATCCAATTATGATGATGTCATTCTCTGTTAAACATGCAGTTCAGAAGTTTCTTGTTGTAGAAATTTTATTATTTTCAATCAAGATGAATCTCATGGAGCTTAGTGATGAATAGATTTTCAAATTCAGAATATTGTAAGCAAGGTAAAATTGTTCGCTCACCATTTGTGGATGTTCCCTTGCCCACAATTCGCGAATAAGCTAAGTAATAATGACGCAATCATATAATATGATAATGAGAGACGAATTGTCCATAAACGTCATCCAGTTATGAATACTGTGGCAATGTGTGTTATATTCACTGAACCATTCTAATATTGAATTCTATTTCACGACAAAGTAAACTATTCCACTCCTACGAACAATGCCATCTTCAATATAGTTATTAAACCAATATTTTGAGAAGACGGACGCTTGATCTTCTCTTCTGTCTACGTTTTAATGTAAAGCAAAGTGCAAGTCAATCGTGGCTTCACGTCATTTGTACAGTTAAGTAGAAATTACTGGATAGTCGTGGAAAATTATGTTTACTAGGTATCTGTATGTTGACGATTAATTAAATACGTCTACTTTTCACAAATAAACATTACCATATTCATCCACTGGTTAATCATATCAGTCCTACTCGTGATTTCACCATACCTTAAATTACACGAATAAAATTGATGAATACATTCACTCACTTGAAGTTTTCTGTATGCATTAGATGCGATGACTGCTGCCGTTTCCAACACTTTAAGGTCAGCTAAGAAAACACGAAATGTTGAATGATATTTATTATTCAAGAAACATCAAATCATACCCATCATCATGCTGAATATAGTATATTGACGATCCGAAAGCCTTTCATACTAATTTGATTATTTCTCAACACGTTTCTTCTCACAACACAGTGAATATTTAATTTTCAAAAGCCCACTCCAATCCTCACGAAACGAGTGCCGACTCAAGGTTGATAAAACAAGTCTTCGTAATATTTATGAGATGTTATTATACTGATGATGAAAAGGATATCTAATACAACCTAGTTAATGTATGTGTTACTAATGAGTAAGTGGGACACGTAACCACTGACTGTAAACACAATGACGAGTGAATTTTCATACTAACAGTTTATTATTCGTGAAAGTAGTGTGGAATACAAAGTTATCGAATCAACTTATCTTTGAATGTTTTCATTTTCTTATTCGCTTCTCTCAAATAATCTTTATCATTTCAATTTGAACTATAATTTCACAAACCAAAAAGTATGAAATGTTTCATTGTGTATTCTTCAGCGTGAAGTGATCATAAAATAACGCAGTGGCTTCTGACTCTCGCAATTCATGGTTATCCTGTTGATAATGTTCATATTACCACATTTTTTTCGAGTAGTTTACTGATATCAGTAAAAACAAGTGAATTTACCAGGTTTAATCTGCATTTATACTGCATCTTTGTCCAACTTCAATGTTGGCTCGACTTTGTCCATTATGGAACAATAATCGTATGCATAGAATATTGAATTTTTATACAAAAGTTTGTGAATTCATCGAATGATTAATTGTGTCAATAGTTTCTCATGTTACAAGTTGGACTTATAAGGACATGCTACATTTCTAGTGGTGTTGGCATGGCGATCACAAATCCCAAGTAAGCATTTCTTTCCTAAGGCTCTTGTCTTCTACCGTTACACTGATAATCCATTGCGTGAATATATTTCTGTGATTTATTTCTGAGTAAATCATAGTATATAAGGCATAGATGCTGGCAAGCACACACACATTTCGCACTAAATAATAATAAACAACTTTGTGCTTGTTGGCGAGAAAATGCAAACAACAGTGTTCGTTGTCATAATTTTCATCCCGTATTACTCATCGAGATGATATCTCAGTAGAGAGAATTCCAATAGAAATCCACCTATCTAGAGTTCGATATTGTGACGGAGGTGCGTTATGTTTCATTTCTGAATATGCTGATACTCAGTGAATTCGGGTAGACATAATGATCGGATTCGTGGAGACGGCTTTTCCACATATTCAAACAACTCGATAATTGAGTCAAACAATCAACCAGCCGCTGTACCTGATTGTCACAAGGGATATTCAGACATGGTTTACTATGAATACATATCACTACATTTCAGTGGAATTATGAATATCCATATTAAGGACATCAGGGAAACTACTATAAACAAAGTCAGGAGAAATATTTCAGCACAGTATACAAGTTACGAAGACGAATTTCAAAGTGGAAGAAAACTAACCTTTGTATTTTTCCAAATTGCCTGATGTCTTCGCAAAAAATTTACCTGCAATTGATACATCACATGGTGATTCAACTTCCAGTCATCCGATGAATCGAACATTATCACTATTAAAAGATAGATTCAGCTGACGTCAGTTTAAGCGACATCATCACAGTTAACCTGCTTACTAGGTATAAAGCTTTATTAAAAATTGTATCAGACAATCGAGTATGTGTAGTCTCACTCACATACTGATAGGAAGTAGTCGGCTTTAGACTGTTGCTAATGACAAATGTGAGGAATTCATGCATGTATGGTGTTGCCTATTATCGCTTATTCCCTGAACTACTCTCCGTTATCTGGATGATGCGTTTACGCACAGATATTCTCATCATTCATCGCGAAAATTCAAGAAGCCTGAAAATACACACAGTTAGTGAGCTGTGCCAATGAATTGAACAGAAAATTCCTACAGGATGTCGTTTTCTCCTGCAACGCCAAGAATTCATGCTGGGTTTGATTTAAGACCATCGGTCAGGGATGTATTACGTTTTTGTTCTCGCTTAGTCAAAATTACCACTAACGGGTGTGATGTTTAAAGGGAAATATCACCGTTCAGATGTGTTGTCGTAAATCTTTTGTAAAAGTGAGAATTTTTTGTGGCTTTACCCACTTCAGCTAATCACAGAAGAATCTTCACCATATTACTTAATATCAAATAATAATGGAATTTACTTTCTGTAATATCGAGATTTTTTCGATTTTCCCATTTCTTTGAAATATGCGTTTTCATCTGGCTGTATAGTCTTTTATTAGCTGAAAGAAAACATAAAAATTCACTAGGTATAATTATTGCTGATACGGTTTGTAACATTTGGATCACATGATTATTCCAGCTGCATAATGTTCCTCTATCCTGATGACAGTAGTAATCTATTTAGATGGCCAAGGTGATGCAGTCATAGGCATCCAACAGATTTCATCATATTGTCAAGTATCAATCACTGAATTCACTTAAGAAATGCATAACGCATTCTGAATGTGATCAGAGCAAGAAGCAGTATGATAGCACATATATAAACTATGAAAATTATCATCAATTGAAAATATGATGTCATCAATCAATAGACAAATAACCTGAAGATCTTCTGAATATCACTGGAATGCTATTCGTTGTAACAATGGGTCTTAGTAACAAATCAATAAAAAGAACAAATAGAAGAGCCCTCTGTTTTGGTAAGAAACCTCCTATCAGCGATCACAGATTTTCGCTCAAAAATATCTTGGTGGAGAAGTGCGATTGACATGGTTGAAAGGCAAGTGTGATTGCAGATTGAAAAGATGACTCGGCAAAAAACACCAATTCGAAATGAATGAAGTTTAGATAAAGCTTTGTTATAACTTTTAGTTAAGGAAAATTAATCATACCAGAAACGTTGTGCTGAAAATCATTATCTTCTTCCAGTGCTTTCCTGTATGCATCTACAGAAAAATGAAGCATTGTTTGGTTCTTATATAATTCCACAAATAGCCAACAGTCTGCTCTGTGTATTTCTACACTGTTGTAGTATGAAACTGTAAAATAAGGTTCATTTATAAGCAGATGATATTACGAATAATATTAAATTTTAGTAATCACTCGAAAGTCATTTCTAAGTAAAACAGTAAGTTATACCTCTCTCTACAGATACCACAGATTAATGTAGCCACTATGATCAGTTAAGGTTGAAGGAAGACAAACCATGTACGGATGTGACTGCACAACTGCAAAACATCATAAGACATAGGCTGGAATTTCAGTCAGCCGTTAACCTCATCGTCACCGAATTCGCGAAGACTTTTGACAGCGCTGACCACACTTTACCAACACTGCTAAGTGTTGCATACTCTGGTGCAATTCATTCAACAGGTGTATGATTTTGCTAAATGCGAATATGCCACAGCGGAAAGTTCACCGAATCATTTTAGGTTAAGACAAGGCCATTTTCTATCACTTATATTATTCCTATGATATCGTTTTAGGCTGAACGGTTCAAAACATCGTTTGCAGTGAGCATCTCTTTGTTTTACACAGGAAGGCGGGAAACGAATAACAGCAGTAATTTTAAAATGTAACTGAATAATTGTGAACTTATTCAAACATTAGACATTTGATGAAAATTAAATAGAAGTACATAATCAAAGTTTTCAAGTCGTATAAATTAACTGGAGATATCTATGGATTAAAAATTATATTCGGAATATTATCAATGATGCATGCTGTTTCATTGTATCATGTATGTATTGAACAAGCTCATGTTAAAGAGGATATTGTAGAGAAGGTGGGTGATGGAGGATATTGTCTTGCTACTAAATACCACGTCACTCGTGATTGAGTTGACGACAAATTTTAAAATGCTTCACTAAATGGACTAGATTGCATTCGTATAGATGAGCGAAAACGGCTTCACTTGTTAGCGTTGTCAAATAAAAATAAATATAAAAATTTAAGTTTCATCGGTCACACCAAATGATTGCAAGCTGACGTTGATTCCACGACCAGAAACAAGGTGTTTTGTCTTCAGATAATTTATGCTTGTGTCTCATGCACACTGTCTATTATTTTAGGATGCAATAACTTACCGTTATAAAGATTTACGAGCTTCTTATCTTCCACACCGATTGCTGCAAAAGTGTACATAATTTTGGAAAGTTATTTAGTTGGATTTCGAAGTAGGTAAGAAGAGGACATTAGGAAAACGTGAAATGTAGACTGAGGACTTGCCAGATGTTAAAGTTACAGCAAATCAAAACTAAACACAGGAGCTGTTTGTTTTCATACTAAGTACATGACAAGTGGTTTGAGGCGTTAGATAACTTATCCGTCTGACTCAAATGTTTTAGCATTGAAAAGAATATTGAAAGGTTAATCGACGGCATTCATTCTGAAGATGGCCCAACGCAGTCACTGTTTATGTTATAATTCAGTATTTAATGCTATGCGTACAGAAAAGTTGTGTACTGGAAAAATTTGCCAAATGTGCACATGAAATTCATTCCTCAACTCGAGGTTTCTCCATAAAAGTATAGAGACTGCTTACTGAGAGAATTTTCTATGCTGATGACACTTAGGGACCACTCTCTGAAATACCAATTTTGATGTTTTATTTGTCCAGTCATTTAATTCTATGGTCATCTCCAATGACACTGGAATTCATTTCAATTCACAATCCAACATATTTATTTTAGTGAAAATTCACGCCTCTATTCAACGAGCAGTTCATTCCAAGAACATCAAAGAATCGAGTGAGTGGATGATAGGACTTACATTCGAGAAATTCCTCCGCCCATTTACTCTGGTATAAGTGTTCAAGTCTCAGGATTTCTGTTTAAAGTGAAAATAACGAAATATTAGTGCATGTCGTAATGTTGGTCAAAACGGGTTATTTGCAGAGAGAATTTGACCAGCGAAATGACGCTATGCATATATTTCTTATTCTCTATTTGCCGTTCATCTCTGTAATTCTGCACTCTCTCATGTTCAAGTTAACTAATCGCTTTCTAGTTGTTTGTCCTGCATGTTGAAAACGTTTGAGAACGGCATTTTTTGTGAAAAGATAGATCATTTGTGTGTTGTGCTCTGTGAGTAACCCTGAACAGTCAACAGAACACTTATTCCTATATAGTTTATCACTGCTTTATTTAAGCATATTCAGCTTCAAAGTCACAAGTAGGTGAAATTTCATGCCTACGTTCAGTAATTTGAAACCTTTCAATGACGAAACTCTGACCTGTGTTGAGTATCAGCTGATTGAGGATGGTTGAATAAATACCTGTAAATCACTGTAATTTTCAAGGAATACGCCATTCATGAAAAGGCTGACTACTGTTTAAGTTATTGAAGAAGTAGGTACTGGAATATATGAAATTTTGTAGAATGAATAAGGAGTTCTGTGGACCATTCGTATCCACTTTACGGTTCATAAACCAGAATGTCGTTCTACACATGCATCTGATACTTTGTTCATTCATTTTCTTGTCATTCTTTGAACGTTTGTGGTCAACATAAGACATGTAATTGTGTTTATTTTTAACTGCGAGTTTACTTTGACTGCATTTTCGTAATCTTTTTTTAAATTTTTGATTTACAGCTTGATTACACATGTCTTTTCGTACAATTCTGGAATTTTCAGCTTGGATATCGGTAGCCCAAATTTTGCATGCCTACCATAGATATCGGGTGTGCGTCGGCAGGGGATCGAACCTCAGACCATGTGCATGGTCGACAAGAGTCCTAACCACTGTGCCACAGACGCATACTCCCTTATGCATGACCTCTTAATATTGCCTGTGCACAATGACTCCACTTTTCAAATAGTAGTGAAACTTCGGTGTCCCACTTTCTTCCAGCAAAAACAATCCACATTGTTTGCTCCTTTGACGCTCGATTCAAATTAGGCTTCATCCAATCACAGACACACAACACACACATAAAATTAAAACAAATCGGATTTTAGTGCCATCCTTCTAAATGTAACATGGGCCAACAGGAGAGGGAAAAGTTCTATAGATAACTGCAAGTAGTAATGAAGACAACACCAAATAGAAAAATCAAAATGCGGAAATGGGAACAAACAAGAAGGGAAGGCTGCACTTTGTATCTAGATGTTGTGGGTGGAGAAAGTGAGGACGGTGGACCCATCACATACTTTTGTGCTTTCACTAAGTATTTGATTTAAGGTGTCAATACAACATGCACAAAATGACACGTTTCATCACTTCGGCACATCAATATCAGATATTTCTCATCAAAATCTCAGGAATGTGACGAGCCAGCATGCTGGACATAAAATAGAGAAGACCGTTAGATGTGAAATATTGGCAAGTGAAGGAGAATATGTGGCAGGGAAGAGATACCTTAGAATACTACTTCAGTTTAATACGTCAGTAGCCTGGATGAAACCAACACAAATGAAACCAGTGAAGTAAAGCTAAGGGATGCTAAGCAGAAAAGAGGAGAAACGACGTAAACTCTCAAAAAAGCACCACATGGAAATCGTCCAGAAATACCATCAACAACAGGCACGGTACTTTCAGTGAATACCAAACTTCCAGCAAAGTCCAATGTTTCAATACTTAATTTAACTGGAAGATCGGAATGCGGCAGGACCAGATGGAATTCCTTCGGAAGTAAATTATCGGATGTACCTGTAGCACTAGTGCATCCGATTTTGGATGAGGAAGGTTACATGCTGGTCAGAAGGTTAGCCTACCTTGTCAAACTATCATGAAGTGCGACTAAGGTCTCTGCAAGTAATGAACGAGAATCAAGCTTCTTTTCAGTCAAAGCTCATATCATCCTGAAGGGTCTGAATGACTCCTCGAATGCGAAACTCCCCAGTAACAAGCTGAATTCTGGAAAATCAATTCATGAACGGGTCAAATCGCAGCGATACGCTTCATAATTGAAGAGAGTACAAGATTTCAATCAAATATCTACCTCAACCTGATGGACGTTGAAAAGACCTTCGACAGTATTGCAAACTACGAAGTGCAATGCACCGAACAGCTACGTGAATATGGCAAATGTTGAGAAATCCCCAAGGGAAAGCTCACTGAGGCTTATCGCCTATAGTACTCCTGGTTTTGGTTGACTGAGCTATGTAACAGACCGTGAACAACAAGAGGACGGTCAAAGGTTGTTTCGACAAGCAAACTAGAGGAGGTTTGAACTTCCTTGATGGTTTGTCTCTAATGTCACACAAACCCGTAGATCTGCAGTAGAAAAGGAATTCACCAGGCTAAGAAGCAGCCAGCGAAGACAAATCTTCAGGTCAGTGTAGGGAATATAGAGGTGATGAGTACAATGTACCAGCCAATCAACAGCAACGGCAGAAATGTGAAGGAAATCATTTCTCAAACTTATCCAACATTGTTTCAAATACATGTGACGGCAAGTGTGAGGATGTCGCAGTCAGCTGTGGTCCACAAAGCAAGACAGAATTCCATCACTTTATTCCACACAGTATAAAGAACGAGATTTGGGCATTCAAAACTGACGTCGAATCAATGCCTACACATGAATCAATCTTGAACCTACTGACCAACAGATATGCAGACGGAAACGAAGGTGGAAGGTAAATGCATTCAGGAGACCATTGACTGATATCACTTGCCGACGCAGTTAGTGCAAAATGAATTACACATGAGAAAGTGAGCAGTTGTGTCATATTGGAGATTATGTGTGCGTAAAATAGAAGATAATTGGGCAGTTGTGGAGTCAGCTAGTGAGACTATGGCTTTCACTTATGTGCTTCAAACTACTGAAGAAAAGTGACGATTCGCGCAGTAGTATGTGTGAGAAGGTGGGTGAGTCATTATTGATCCAGAATGTTTAGTGTCACACCTTAAACAGGCGTTGTTTCAGCCATCAGAACCAGTCAGCGTTGTTCTCGTATCATGGAGGTTATCATACAAAGACCAGGAGGTACATTCCATCTTTGTCACTTCATGACAAACAAACGAGATATTCAGTCATTTTCAAAAGAAACTTGTTATGATTCTGGATCTTTGTCTCGAGGTAACTGCTTAACTACTGACCAGCGCCCACTTAACTGGTAAAGCAGAACACGCGAGAATCAGCGGTAAAACCAGAATCATTTATTTATGACAAAATGACTGTATTTATACAAAAATAAGGTAGACTGGAAATCAACCAATCCGGTTGAGAGTTTGGAATTGTGCAAGCGTCCAATCAGAAAGCAGAAACAAATGCATGTCAACGACATGATAATAACTTGATAATTGCACGTGTTTTGCCTCTTCCTAACAGAACTAAAGCGTATATATGTGATTCCTTGGAATACAAGAAATATATAACAAAACTCATTGGTCAAAAAAATATCTGACCATATATTTGTGACTCATTCATTTGCAGCCATGAAGATATCTTGATAAAATTACTCACCGATCTTTATTGTTTCTTCTGCATTCTGGGGATCTACGTATGTCTGAAGTTCAGTCATAAGAACTGAAGGAACAAACGGGCGGAAATAAGTGTGAAGTATGTGGATTATTAAATGATTGACAAAGAGTCCTGATAGACTAAATGTTGACCTGCTGGCAACATGAAATTAAGCTTTCTGTCTTCGTGTAACTCATTATTCATGAAGTGTGGCTGACCTCCGTGAACTATCCACACACCTACAGATAATCGTATACATTTTTCGCACAATCTGCTGGTAACCAGTACTTAGTGATTAGTCCTTTCAATCTCATCAAAAGAAGCGATCAACTGATATTCAACTCATCTCATTCTGCAGTATCCAAATGCATAGAAACTACTCCCCCGAGAGATTAACATGTTTCCTGAAATACATGAGGCACTAGTACTTCCGTTGAAGCACCAGTTTCCTGCTCTACCTTGCAATACAGATTTGCAAGTTGTTACATTCAGGTGACATGAGAAATATGTCTCCCAGAAATTCAGTGGAGACATACAGTTGCAAAAGAGATTTTCAAAAGCTACTCAGTATTGTCAGTGATTGAATTTGTTGATTAGCTGTCTATAAATCAAGTCAAGCGATATGAGTAGTAGGAGGAAGTGAATATCGATCATTGCAGAACAGTGTAAAGTCAAGAGACAACGTTAACATAATTTTCGGTTAAATAAATACTTACATTTATAATTCATAGCCTCATAATATGAGTCTGCGTATGCGTCTAGTGTTGAATTCGGATCATCTGAAATAGAGAAAAATATTTTCCTGGGGCTATTTAATTAGGTCTCCATAATATACTAAGTAAGCCATACAACAATAAACTTCTCCTGTATGATGAATTACAATGCAGCTAACTGCTTCTTGCTGAAGACATGATAAAAAAAATCAGATAGCTGGCAGATTCAACTATTTCTGAAGTCCACAAGCAAACAACAAAAATTTCCCTAATCAGAAGTTACACTCATCTCGCAATACATTCAAAAGTAAAGTAAAACTTTAAGCACCGTTAACTACTAATCAGCATGCGACTGCAAACGCACCAATCATGTGAAGGAGACATTTTTGTCTATGGAATACATATATTTATGAAATAATGCATATAAGCTGTAGAAAAGTGTTACAGAGGATAGCACTCTCACATGTGATAAAAAAACTATCAGTTTTAGGTTGGAGTATTAACAGTATAATTACATAGTGGGTAAAATTTACTTTGATAAATTCCCATAGTGTAGCACAGTAATCTTTCCTGAGCAATAAATTATGCTTGTAACGTCATCATTAGATATTACTGTATAACACTGTATGACTTTATCAGAATTAATTTAACACACAATGGAATTATACTCTACCGCCACAGTGCACAAGTTATATTCTTAAAACAACAGAGTACTTTAACCACATTATATGCATGTAATTATTCACGTCTTCTAACGCTGCCCTTAAAATAAGCCTAATTTCTGCTGAACCTAACGTGAAAATAACCCTAAAGTCATCTTAATAAGGCTCACCTTACCCTGACTTCGACTTGCCTTAAAGCGTAACTTAATCTTTTCCAAACCTAAGCTGAAAATTCCCAGATATCCCACTTAATAGCATAAAACTTTTATGAGCATATTTTATTGATGATGACAACATTATTTGCCAGGCCTCACAAACTTGCTCAGTGAGCGTTTCAAGGTCACTGGTGTATTCGCATTCTATAGTAATTTACTGGTGCTTAAAGGTTAACTTGGCCCATTCAACTGCTTCCAAGTAAAATTTTTGCTTAATCAATTTTGTCAGAAGATCCCTACGCCTCCGAAAATATTCGTGGTGTATTTGGTTCTTCAACAATACAATGATGCTGTTCTGAGTTTTGGTGAAATTCTCTCCATGAATGAATGACTTCTAACACGCAGCAGTGGTAGCAGTGTATACTGTAGCTTGACGGAAATCGAAGCTACTTATTTACAATAGACAATTAGTTGAATACATCTGAATGTCTTTACAACGGTTATTCACATAAGTGCAGAAAACCTGCGACCAGTGATTACTTTAAGCTGAGGCCTATTACGGTCGTAAGTAAAATGTGAGGCGTATACAACAAAATATTTTGACAGGTCACTGTGAACGAAAACTAAACAACAGATAGAATGTATCATGCTGGGAAATGGATAGCAGATCGGAAATCTGACAAGCGGAAACGAAGCTAACCTTTGACTACACCATTTAGGATCAAACATACTTTTTGTAAAGCATTAAGGAGATATTCAACAAAACCGTCACCAAAAAGATTTAAATACACTATCAGTAAGGAGTCCATTGCAAGATCAATGTAACAAACTATAGCAAACTCTCACAGTAGGAAATAAACTCGTTTTCATCAACTGAAAATAAAATGGAAGAAAATGGCTCAAATGAGATTTAAGTGGTTGGTGTTAAGAATAAGCACATCAATCAAAGTTGCACTGACTGAGTAAACAAGTTGGCATAAAACAAAAATTGCACACGGATCAGCACAAATGATGATCATCAAACGTAGTGGCTCGCATGAGTCTCTGAACTGCCTCGAATTCCACCGTACACGATGAATCTTACATTCTCTACTTCTTATTGTCCTAACCAGTTACTTATGTACTAGTTCCGCTAGATGCTCACAAGCATATTTTAGTTGACTTTCGCGAAATCGAAGTAAAGCATAACTTAAGGAATTATTCTATGCTTTATATGTAACGGCATTTCGTGACCTGCTATTAATAGGACCAACATGTACTTCAACCAACTGAAACCCACACTCACTTTCGTAATCTCACACATCTCCGTGCCTACAGATATTAAATCAATCACTGGAAAAAACCAAATTCTTCTCCGGGGAATTCACAACCAATAAGCGAAAACTAGAAAAATATTAGATTGCAAATCAAATCTCTTATTCTCAATGATAAATAAGCGTGTATACTATACAGCGAGATAAACCTATGTAATGACAACAACTGATATCATACAATTCTCAACAAAATCCATCTTCATCATGTGGAATGCTTAAATAATGTCTGACACTGGGCAATTGAGTAATAATATGTAAGCCAGTAACAGCAGGCGCCGATTCTTTTGCAACTTCATGCAAATTTATCCTCCACCACTCAATCACACCCTCAAAGAAAACACAAACAACTTTGCTGCTACATATGGAATGAAACAATTGACGAAATCATCGATGTCTGATATTGTCAATGAGTGATTCACAGTGTCTCTGAGTGAGGGAGTGAGTGATTGACTGACTGGCACAGTGGTTAGGACTCTCGCCGACCATGCACATGGTCCGGGGTTCGAGCCCGTACCGACGCACATCTGATATCTATGGTCGGCCTGCAAAATTTGGGCTACCGATATCCACGCTGAAAATTCCATACTTGTACCAAAAATACAGTGTGGAATCAAGCTGTAAATAAAAATAAAAAAATAAAAAAAAAGGTGTGGTGCAAATAACACACCATGAAGACTGTGAAAAATTCTATTGACCTGCAAAACACCACAGACTTACATTCGCTATCGTTGTCGTAGTCGAAATCTGAAATCAAAACACAAAAATATTTGATTATATTTGATGAGAGAGGACGTTCTTTCAGATGAAATCATACAGCAGATCATCGTTTATTCAAATACAGTGTGATACACTATGACGCACAGGACTAAAATAGACTACAGTCCTACATACTCTTCCGTAGTTCACTGAGAAGAATAAATCCATGAAAATTGCTGTGTAACTGTTTAATTATTTAATTATTTATTTATTTCATTACAGTTTTATTCCACACTTTATTTTGTTACAAGTGCTGAATTTTCAGCATGTAATTTAGGTAAACCAAAATTTAACAGGCCGACTATTGCTATCCGGTGTGCGACGGCCGGGGATCAATCTCCGGATGATGTGCATGGTCGGAGAGAGTCATAACCGCTGTGCCACTGACACACACATTAATTTGTTCATTATATATGTCACACAGTGGAACATTATTATTTACTGGATGCTGTTTCGTACACAATTTATTGTTCCAAAACATATCAGTTGTGATATTAATCCATCAATGTATATACATTTATATAAATCATCTGTGTATGCGTCTGTGTTTCTGTATATGCATCTACCCATCTATAAATAAATATTTAAACAAATGTATATTATATCTTAATATCAATCTCGTCTAGTTAACTAGCCGGTCCCAAGCCCGGGTTAGGAAGGAGGGTTCGGCGTCTACCTAGCAACTTCACACCAATAAATCTTTCAAAACGCTAGAGAAACTTTAACACACAGACAATATATTAAAAATACAAAAAACTAAAATAACAACAATCGTATTCTTGGCATGAATTGAAGAGGCAAAATGACGCGGGCTGGTTAAGGCCAGTTTACAACAAACCAGTCAGCCAGCCAATGTGTCTTCGCTATCTCGATGAAGGCAAGAATACCAATGGAGGCGTGGAATAACCTTTCAATGTATGAGGCTAAGAAAGTCTGCCTAAGTAGGCAGAAAAATGCGAAGATATGGCGTAGAAGTGCTTGGTATCTGAGATGAAAGTGGATTAGGAAAGTTTTCAACTGACGAATCAGCAATAGACTCCTGTCTGGACACTCAGATGACAACCACTAGCATACTGAAGCCGCAGGTGGCTATAATGATGTCACCAGTGGCAGAAAAAAGTCCTAATGCAGTGAAACCAATTTCATCCAGGTTCGTGCCAGCAAGATTCAACTCAAAATGAGGGGGGAAGGTCACAATTATCCAGTGCTACGCACGGTGATACAGACAACACGGAACAAGAGAAGAAGGAAGGCTTTTACGTCAAAATCCTTATGGACGTTATGAATGCCGAACTGGGAGCAGATAAAATAGGAAGAGAACGTATCATGCGACGAGCGGCGCTCACTGGGCGAAATAAAGGAGAATTATTCGCAAACTTCTGTGCTTTCGATGATCTGGTGATCGCAGAAAGGGTGAACAAGCACGAGGAAATACAAAAAGCAACATGGATTTCACCTGACTGATATACCAAATAGAGTTCATTTCAATGCAGCTCAAGGAAGTTGAGATGCAGCCTACCTGCTGGATACTACTTTGAGAAGGGGAGCAGATGTGAGCTGGGATCATTGTCTGGTATAAGGAACTTTCAAGGTGATACTGAAATCCATGAAAACAAATGGAGACAGACCACGATTCATGTTGAACACTCAGAACCTGAAAGACAAAGCTACGACGGACGCCTTCGCTGCAGATATCAGAGCAAAGTTGGACACACTAGGCGCCATCACTGTGAAAACATGTGTGGAAGAACATTGTTACTCTCTGAAAGCGATACTTAAGGGAATGTGTACAACTGTTCTAGAAAGTAGGAAGAGACAAATCAAGGAATGGCCGTCAACTGATACCTGGAAGCTGATCGGAGAGAGAAGAGAGAATTGGTGAAATAGAAGATGATTCAATTTAAAGATGGACAAGAAAAGGGGAAGCTGAGTCCGATGTACACTGCACTGAATAAAGGAGGACAAAAGAGTGCTAGAAAAGATGAATGACAACTACACGACACACTGCTGGGCAAGTGAAGCAGAACAGGTCGCATGGAGAAGAAAATTCAAGGTACTACATCAGATAACCAAGTCTATATCCGGGAAGAGATCAACCCAGAAGATGAAACCAATAAAAGATGCTCAAAG